AGGCGAGTTGCCTAAATTGAAGGCCTTAAGATGGAGCATGCATATAAAATTCGGGTGCACAAACATCCCAGTCCTCATGAACTACTTAAGGTAAATGTTAAATGATCACGCTTCAAAGAATTTGTCTAAGAGTAGTCTGTGTTATGTGTCTGACTGGTTTCGCTCAGTCGCATGATAGCGACATGTGGCAAGTTCAAAAGCAATGCAGGTCCGGCACGGTATGGTGGTGCATGTCACATTGTCTTGCCCTTGGAGTTGCGTGATGTCTGCTAACCATCTATCTCCGATATGCATGATTATTTCGCACCAGGTCACCGATGTGCATTCACCTTCGGCGCTGCCCGGAGCAGTTCGCGAGGACAACGAGCGGATGATAGCCGTGAGAATGCTGAGCAGTTCACTCAGGATGGCCTTGGAGGGACCTGGACCGTTGACTCCGCAGCATTAGGCTAGCCTCACTCAGGCGGTGTTTAACCAGACGCTCATCGATATTCAGTACGTTTGCTTGGACCGCTTATTTCCAAGCCTTCAGATGTGATTTTGAAAGCGCAGTTTTACGTTAATGTTACGTTGCGTTCTAGTTTTAGCTGGCGTTCAAAACGTACCTGGGCCGTTGACTTATCAGTGCGCGGTGTCGCTTAATTGTTTCAGCATGTTTTGGAATCATACTATATCCTTTGTTCTACATGATGCAGCTCAAGTATGCGAGTGTTGTATGCACGGGGATGCCTTAGCCCCAAACATCAGTCAAGCATGCGAGTGTTGTATGCACTGGGATGCCTTAGCCCCTAACATCAGTCAAGTATGCGAGTGTTCTATGTCCTGGGGTGCCTTAGCCCCTAACATCAGTCAAGCATGCGAGTGTTGTATGCACTGCGATGCCTAAGCCCCTAACATCAGTCAAGCATGCGAGTGTTGTATGCACCGGGATGCCTTAGCCCCTAACATCAGTCAAGTATGTAAGTGTTCTATGTCCTGGGGTGCCTTAGCCCCTTCAGTCAAGTATGCAAGTGTTGTATGCCCTGGGATGGTTAGCCCCTATTCTTATTCCTGTCTGATAGCTTCATACTGCATGAGGAATGTGTGTCGGTGAAGCTATCAGATAAATGTAGCATGGCTACCGGCCTAATTTTTACAGACTGCTGTGTAACATGTTTGCTGCAGCTGAACGACGGTTTTGAACAGTGCTTAGCTCGTGTTTTTGGCAACTACCCGTCGAAAAGGTCGAACGCGGCAATGGCCATGCGGATGGTCGACCAGTTCGGGGACAAAGTGCGCTCGTCTTCCTCGTGCCTCGACCCCTTCGGGGACAAAGTGCGTTCGTCTTCCTCGTGCCTCGACCCCTTCGGGGACAAAGTGCGTTCGTCTTCCTCGTGCCTCGACCCCTTCGGGGACAAAGCGCGCTCGTCTTCCTCGTGCCTCGACCCCTTCGGGGACAAAGTGCGCTCGTCCTCTTTGTGCCTCGACCACTTCGGGGACAAAGTGCGCTTGTCCTCCTCGTGCCTCGACCAATTCGGGGACAAAGTGCGCTCGTCTTCCCCGTGCCTCGACCAGTTCGAGAACAAAGTGCGGTCGTCTTCCTCGTGCCTCGGTCAGTTCGGGGACAAAAGGCGCTCGTCTTCCTCGTGCCTCGACCAATCTGTCGTAAACATCCTACATTCTGTTCAAAGGGGATGCGCTGCAAAATTTCACCTTGGCACAATTTCAAAACGCAGTTTTTTGTGCGCCAGATTTTATTTATTGACGTGACCCAATTAAATCAAATCAAACTTATTGACGTGACTTCGCTCCGAATCTTTGCCGGACGTGTTCGCAGCGCGATACGTTTTGTTTTGATCATGGCACATTTCGGGCAGTAACTGCGCGTGTGGGCCACTAGCAGCTGTTACGCGTGCTTCTAACAAGTGAGCTGCAAGTTATGCTCTTTGTAACGGTTAACACACTTAACCCAACGTCGGTCCTGGGTGCGCAAATTTACTTGATTATAAATGGGTCTGCTGTACCATTTCTGTATCGCTTCGATCCAAGGGACTCTACATGACGTCCCGTATAATCTTTGCGGTCTGGGTTGCTGAAAACACCAACAAAAGGCGCTGCATCAATGCTGTATACTGTCACATAGACATTTCCCGTGCGTGTGCAAAAAACGGAAGAGAGGCCGACGAAGAGAGCGTGCCCAGCGGCGAGTGAGCGGAGCCGGTGAGGATTCCCAAACTACCCGCCCATTATGGCTGCGCCATCTCTGGACGTGGTGGCAGCCATACGGATGCTGAACCGCGATGACCTGGAGAGGGAGGACGTGGCGGCGCTGAAGGTGGCCATTCTCCCGGAGTGCAGGCACTTTCGTGCACTGCCACCTTCCCCTCGAGCGTATCGAGGAAAAGTCCAGCTGGCTGTTCAGCTGCAGCGAGGTGAGCAACTCCATGGATGGCCATAGACAGAATATGCTTGCCGTGTTGGTGATGTTTCAATTCGCTTGACTCATGTACGATACAAATGTATGCAACAGTCTTCTAGTGACTGCCACGTTTTCGCCATTGGTGGCAGTGGGATGTCGGTCCTAAACCGCATTCCGGCATGCTTAACTATATCCCTGCTCTAGGGTCTTTAGAACATGTTTAAAGTATGATCATAAAATGGCACGAATTCCAATTTTTTAGCTTATTTGTCAAAGCCTCAGCTTTGCAGCTTCTTAGGTGTTAGCTCCAGAATTGGTTTTTGGGAGCGATCTGTGCCAGTATTCAGTTGGCTTGTGCAGCTGCTGGTGCAATCGGAGGGGAGTAGTCATACTCCACATGAGGTTTCGAACCAAAATGGAAACCGTCTCAGAGCGCGGGTTGGCAGGTCTAGTACTGCTATCGTAAATTTTGAAATTTCTGCTTTTCCGAAATTTGCTGCGGAGGCAACTTATTTCTGTGCCATGGTTTTAAAGCTCGCGGGACGAGCGCCGCCTGGCCATCACGTTTCTCCAGTACTTCGTGCTACGAGTGCGTGATTGTGGCATCGTGCCCCGGGCATGCTGGGCCCTGGCTAGGAGGTTGGATGTAAAGGAGTGAGAAGACTTGGCGGAAAAGAGTTAGCCAATGGGATACACATGTTCATGGACGCAGTGTGTCATGGCGACACGTGCTTGGCTTGTAACCTTGAACTGGAAGTTTTTAGGTTCCGTTTTCGGCGTCGTTCCGCTATTGAATGCTTCCAGCTGAGATGCGCCAATTTGACGTGCTATGGAGATGCGTCGTTGCGCTGTGCGGGGCATTACAACAGGTTGTGTTGTGACGCTCATATGAAGGGTGTTTGTTTTTTTCTTCGACGGATGCCGGCGGATCAGCACACAGATCACAAGTTGGAATATATGCCATGAGCGTACATTGCGTTTGTCGACCTGATTAAAATAACGGATGGGACTTTGGAGAACGCTCGGAAACCATACAAGAGAGACACATTTTACGAGAACCTTAGAGGTCTGGGAAACCTTTTTGGCCTGGGAACATTTTTTGCAAGATTTTCGGAGTCGGTGCAGATTGTCTCGCTGGAGAATGCTCCATTATCTCCATGTTCCAATTGCCCGGTCACGGAGATAATCAAGCATTCTCACACCAGATAATTTGCGTCGACGCTGAGAACCTCGCAAAAAAGAACGACACGAAACAAAAAGACTCCCTATGAAGTTCTCGTAAAGTGTGGCCTCCTACAGAGCCAAGATCGCCCCCTCGATAGGCTTGCCTGTTTCTCAGTGCGGCGCCGCGGATTACGGCGCAAAATCGCCACGGCCCCCAATTCTCACTACCCTCAGGACATGTCCCTAACGGCGGCATTCGCGAGAACCAAGAAGACTACGGTGAGCGACCAAAGGGACCCTGAACGCCCGATGGGGTCCCTAGGCAGCCAGCGGAACAAACCCAAGGTGAGAGGGACCCTTGGTGGCCTGAGTAGTCCCTCAGTGGACACACAGACCCATGGGCCGACAAAAGGCCCTTACGTGCCCAGAGAGACACCGAGCATTGCGCGTTTACTTTGACTCTTGGACTACCACTCCTGGACTATCCTGGACGCGCCCCTGACAGACTATCGTCGCATTCGATACCAACTCAGCATCCGAAAGCCATCAGCAGCTTTAAAATACGACATGACAGGCACGCGCTACAGCCAACCGTAATGAACGTGAACCCTAGATTGCACACCTAACTCGCAACTGTTCAAGGCAGACGTCGTTAGGCCGAAAGCTAAGTGCTTTTACAAGGCTATTACGCTACTGTTATTCATACAAATCTAATACTTCTGCCATGCCTTTTGCTCTTGGGGACTGCCCTTATACTGAACAGCTGCACATAGTTAAGTCGTCATACGACCACTATCGCGCATTATCCTCTGAAGGCGCACAGCAAACACATCAATTGGAGCGTCAGCAGAAGCCGCAGACGAGAACACCTAGCTCGCGACGAAAACACAGTACATCCACGCCGAAATAGAGTAGATCTTATAACATAAAGGACACTTATATGTGAGGCAGAGAATACGAGCAGCATAATTGACGACAGATCGGTGCAAGCACAAATAGACGTCAGCAAACACTTAGGCTGCTTGAACCATGTGTCCGATGGGACAAATCGCTATGCTGTATTTCGTGCATTCCACGTATTTTGTGGTTTGCATGGAATCGTTGACATATGTTGCGATCAGTTTTACCATGCCCATCTAATTAACATCGACACATACCTCCAAGCAAGGGCTTGAATGACCGCTATCTGCCGAGCCAACAGAACGCCCCAATGGATGCTGCTGAGAAAAGGTTTTGTTGATGGAGCTCCCAGCACAAATATCGTCCAAGAAAGAAATGTTAACATTGGGCTAATTCCAATGAATATTGGCACGGCTGTGGCCACGCTTGCCATCTACGCAGCACGCCCCCCACCACCACATACACTGCGAGGTGCGCGGTCGCAGGGCGCCCGGCCGGCGGGCCTCGAGCGGCGAAGGCTCCGGCGGGCGACACTCACCGCAGGCGAGCGCGAACGACGGCGAGGCCAGCTCGAAGTACGGGAAGGTGCGCATCATCAGCAGCATGGTGGCCAGGCCGAGCACGCCGCAGGCCGGCACGTGTAGAGGCACGCTCTCGAACACCATGACGCCCAGGTGCACGAGCAGCACCGCCTGCAACACAGCCAGCCGCGTCAGAGGGGGCGCTGCCGGGCCGAGCTGACGCTGCTGGTCAGCGGCGTCGCCGGCCGGACCTGCCCGTCCCGTCGAGCTGGCGTGCTGGGCTGGTGACGCAGCGAAGGCGACTGGAGGCGCCGAGTCGCACGTGACGCCTGAAACTGCTGCGCAACTCGGCCCCGACGCCAGCAAGCGATCCAAGGAGCAAGGGAGGGTGCCAAGGCTTCCAGAACAAGAAACAGTGTCTGAAACTTGGGTGTTTTTTGGTGTTTTAGCCCCAAGGCACTTTATTCTCCACAAATATACACTGGAAAGAATGCAAAAAAAAATGTTATCTGTGAACGGTGTCCAATGAAGGCAAGCTGTCCCTGAAACTTCGACAGCATCGCGCGCCACACTCACGACTAAACGAGGGACACTGCTGGCGGGTTACAGCCGAATCTCCCTACCATATCACACACAAGCTTTCCTTGCAATGCACTCAGTGCCCAGGTCCGCTGCTGCTTACCAGCACACGTTTAACCCACCTACCGTCCAACAACGACACCGAGCCCGAGCCCGCACTCAAAACAACATCGTCTCTTGATGGGCCAGGGAGAAGCGCTGAGAACATCTCGCATACGTCACGATTCAACGCTTCTGGATTGCACGAAGAAATTATGGTAACACAATGAAAATTGATACGAAAGTATATGATGTCACACGAACATGTACCTCTACGCATATTGTGAATTAATCACATGCTGAGAAATAAACTTTTGTAATTTTTTAAAGACGGTACTCTTACTAAAGCTGTATTCAAAACTTTCAAAAAAGGACATTGCATAGAAGGTGTGCTGGTGGCGTCAAACACCATCCCAAACACTCGCTTGGGCACGCGAAAAACCAAGGCTCCGCGAGTCTCCGGCCCTTGGGGAGGATTTAGCACTGGAGAGAAGACATATCCTCCACCAAGAAATCCGAGCTGCATAGGTGATGGAAAGGCATAAGAGAGGCATTCAACAAAAACATTGATCTACGATCTATCGATCTATCGATCTTCAGATCGTCGCCACAGAATCATGACCTGGGTATTAAGCTAACGCGGCGTTGCTTGCCCCCCTTTGAGCAGAACTTTAAGTCTTGTGTTTGCATGATTATTTACGTTTTCAAGATATTCCTTTCATTTGAGCTTGGTTCTACCAATGAACATTTTTTAAATAAAATCATTTAGGTCCTAAAAAGCAATATCAAAACCGATAAACAACACAGCGGATCTGTCGTTGAAAAATGCTATTGCCTGCGTGCCATTTATGCAACCTACCGGCCTTTTTTGGAGGAGCCGCACGCGGTGTCGTGGTGGTGCGACTGGCGGGTAGTTTAGATAAAGGCAATATATGAGTTTAGCTCAGTGTCATACCCTGATAAAACTACTGCGACAGACTCAACGCCGGTGATTAGATGTAGCCATGCTAATTTTGTGCAGCCGGATTGCTCTGTGAGGAGGAAATGATTCCTCCGCCCTTGCTGCACTGGCCTCTGAGCCCCGATCACGAGGCAGCCTGACGTCCCAGGTGATGAAAATCTGTACATAACTCTGTGGAGCGGGTGAGCAGTGAAATTTGTTGTCCCAAATAAATAGCGCAAACCATGTTCTCCCTGATTTTGACCAACTTTTTCTCAAGGTTGGGGAGGGGCTAACATCTTATCCAACTAAGTAGGAAACTACACACCTCGTCTCAAGTTAAGTATATTATATATATATATATATATATATATATATATATATATATGTCAGTAAAAGCCTAGGCGGGTAGCACATTGCCCCAGAATCTTTCCCTTGGATGAGAAAGATTGTACCTTGGCTAGGATGCAGCTGCACTAACTACCAACCCCAGATGCTCCTATTTATATTGTGGCTCGTATGACGTTTCAATAATAAACTTGTCATAATGTGCTCTAGAATTGTTCAACAGGTGAACAATATGTCAAGCATCTGCTTCTATCAGCCTTAATTGGGGCTGGCACCTATACAATAGAATTGTGAATATTAACAACTTTCTATCAGCTCCATGGCTTACAAAATACGGTACGTGTGATCATTCGCTTATGAAGGAAACACTTACTTAGGAAGCTTGCAAATTTAAGAATTGCAAGCAGCCAATCTTTAATGGTCTTTGGCAATCACTGAGATCAGCTAGAGCAAGATATTTTCTGTCATCTCCTGCCAAAAAATGTCCCTTAGTGCTAGCTGTGAATGCAGTGCAAATTCACCTGGGTATTTTGTTCTCACTACAAGCCGTTATCCTAAAAAATTTGTTCTCTCCCACAAGAGCCAAAGCCAAATTTCAGATACTGGTAAGAAGCCAGATGACAACAAGCCAAATGCGGAGAAGTCTAACAAGATAAATATCAAGTGCAAAGAGTCAAATAGCACAAAAATAATTTGACAAAAGTCAAGTGCCATAAGTCCAAACGATAAATAGTAAATTCAAAAAGATCAACGGGCAAAACGTGATCAAATTCAAATGGCTCGAATTCGAAAGGGCAAAAGTTGAATATAAAAATAAACAATGCAAAAGAGTCAAATAAGCAAAAAGTCAACACAATAGAAGCAAAATTGAGCTTTAAGACCAGTCTATCAATAAAAACATCTCTGTCCTGTCCAGAAGCCCCGGCTTTTATAGAACTTCTAAATGCACTAAGGGTCCTCGGTCAGCTGCACGTCCCGAGTGCCGGGAGGCTACGGGGTAAAACATCCGCCCCCACCTAGCCATTGGGACCCAGCCAATTGACGGCCTCGAGACTGCGCGAAATGTGAGGAGGGGTCACGGATGTAGATCGGAAGGGCCCTCTGCGGGATACAAGATGTTTTGACGCACGATGGTTTTTCGCCATGTGGAGCATGTTAAGCTGGCTGTCTTGGGCCTCTTCGACTGCAGAGCACGGTCATAAAAAATACAAGGAACTGTTCAATGGAACTCCTAGATAAAACTATGCCACCCTACAGGGTGGGGGAGGGTCCTGGGTGTAACTTTCCAAGAGGCCTCCGGAGTTTAGGCGGAGTATAAGCTTGGCGATTTAGAGCTCGCCTTTCTTACACCGTTTGGGGTATGGGGAGGTACAGCAAACCCAATTTTGGGACGGTGGAAATTGGCACCACGTTACGATGTCTAATTTTCAACAAATGATATTTTCTCATGTGTTAGGCGTTACCTAGCCAAGCAGGAATCTTTCATCAAACAGATTGAATTTATGCAAAATATCAGAGTTTTTATTAAACGTGGTTCAAGTTGTTGGGGAACAGCCAGGCTTTTGAAAGCCATGGGCAACGGTTCACTTTAAATAAGTTCGTGTTCGTGCATTATGTAAGAAGACACCTTAGACGCCAAAGTGCAGACACCACAGACGTAACGGTGCTGGCACCTTAGGCGCCACAAAACCGATCCGGATGCTTAGGTTGCCTGCTCCACATCGGTCTCGTCTCCTAAAGGGGGATGAGCCCACTGATGTACTGACGCTAATCCGTGCGCCGTGCATTACTAAAAACTCACTGAACGAAAAACACGACACAGCTGCACGTTGCCTACACGAGTTCATATTGCTCGAAGCAAGGTTTAAAAAAAAAACGGCGTGTGTCAGTCCGGCAATCATCATTCCGGGATTCCAGCCCACGTATTTGCGGTTGGAGTATACGGTGGTGGACAATGTCTCTGATTTAGGAATTTGGGGGTGGAGAAAAACCTGCGCATCGGAGAGCACGTAACAATCTGCCACAGATGTGTGTCTTACCCAAGCTGGAAGGATCACGAGCTCCTGTAAGAATTACGAACCCCCAATCCTGCGAATGCCTCTTTATCCCAACACAGGACCATTCTTAATCTGACACATGGCCCCGGTTACTCTGAGTTCATTCTTTCTATGCAACGCCATACACCTGAAGTTAAAATTCGGAGGCGTGATACAGCTGCGCCCACAATTAGCGGTAAGGCTACATCCATGCCGGCGGTTCCTATCTGCCCTTCCCGCTCCAGGTCTCACCAAGTGCTTGTTGAGTCCCGAGCTGACACGGCCGAAAACATCGCTACTCTCTTCCAGTGGGCAAGCTTTTTTATTGGAATTCCACCAGTCTCACATTAAGCATAGCAGCTTGAGTGAAACTAAAATCTCCGCAAACCTGCGCACAAGTTCTGACAGATTCCGTGAATGCATTTCAGCATTCTGACCACCTGGATACTGGTAAACTGAGGAGAGGGCTCTGGGAAACGGGAGACTGTGACACCTCAAATCTTCGTCTCAAATCCCCGTGCAGGATCAGGAAGGAAAAAGAAAGGTGATGTCGGTGTCAGTCCCGGAACTAAGACGGCCCTTTTGAGCCGGCTAAAATTCATGAATGTTAGGAGGCTCTGCTTCCTTAACAACAACGATGGGATGTGCTTGGCTCGATCCGCCTCGCCCGCCTCGCGTACTCGTGTACGACACCGACGGCCGCCAAGTCACATGCTCGCGGCACGCTGCCCCCGTTGGTGGCAACACCGGGCCAGCCAATGCCGGTTAAACGACTGCCGATGCCAATCACACGCACGGCGCTTGATTCCGCCGGCGGCGGCGGAGGCCGCCCAGAGTTCGCACGCCTTGTCAGCACGGGACAAACAGAGCCGAGGTCGATACGCGCCACTCATCCCCCGCGCCGCGCCGAGCGATGGCGGCTAACGAAGAGACGGCGCCGAGAATGACGACCACACACACGGCGCGCGGCCGCACCCCGTAATATCGATCATCGTACTTATACTAGCTCAAACTGCACGGACCTTAGCATTGCAACATCTCTGAGCGAAGAACTGGGACAGAACATTTTCAGCACATTAATCGACGAGGTCTCAGTAAAGGCAGAGGTTGCTTTAAGGCAGCCTTTCTTTCCGTCGAATTGTACACAAAAAGCTCACAAGACCCTAACACTTTTCCTCCCGCATATTTTGGCGTTGGATACGTTACAACCCTAGTTCAAATGAACGACT